GCATTCTGCACCACCTGTAGTTTCCGCAGCAGCCTCAAAGGCAGCCCCACGTAGAGCACATTACAGTGGTCTAATCTTGAGATTACAAGCGCATGTACTAAGGTAGTGAGGGCCCCCACATCAAGATAGGACCGCAGCTGGGCTATCTGCCTAAGGTGGTAAAAGGCGGTTCGGACCACGGACACCACCTGGGATTCCATGGTGAGCACCGGGTCCAGATGGATCCCCAAGCTGCGGACCCCATCCTTGGCAGGGAGGGTCACCCCCCCCAAAGGAGAGGGAGTTTCCCAGACCCCCCACTGTGGGGACACCCACCCTCAGCACCTCCGTCTTGTCCGGGTTCAGCCTCAGCCCGTTCTCCTGCATCCATTGCAGTACGGTCTCCAGGCAGCGCTGAAGGCACAAAACGGCATCTCCTGCGGTAGGTGGAAAGGAGATGTAGAGCTGAGTATCATCAGCGTACTGATGACACCGAGCTCCACACCCCCGAATGACCCCTCCCAGCGGCCTCATGTAGATGTTAAACAGCATCGGGGAGATAATCGACCCCTGTGGAACCCCACAATTGAGACTCCACGGGGCCGAGAAGTTCTCCCCAAGCTGTACTCTCTGGGGACGGTCCTCCAGGAAGGAACAGAGCCAGGCCAAAGCAAGGCCCCCAATTCCCAACTCGGAGAGCCTCCCCAGGAGGATACCATGGTCAATGGTATCGAAGGCCGCTGAGATGTCGAGGACGACCAGCAGAGACAATTTGCCCCTGTCGGCCTCCCTCAACAGGTCATCATACAGGGTGACCAATGCCGTTTCTGTACCATGGCGCGGCCTGAACCCCGACTGAAATGGATCCAAGGCATCTGTTTCGTCCAGGAGCGCTTGCAGCTGATCGGCCACCACCCTCTCGACCACCTTGCTTAGGAAAGAACGTTTATAGCAATGTTCCATGTTTCATTATACCATTCTTCCATTTGAAATTCCAATTTTGATTTCCACTTCCTAGTTATCATTCATCTGGCTGCTGTTAATAAATTGGTAACCAACTCTCTAGTCATCATATTGTATTCCACATTCTCAAATATTGATAACAGAGCTATATCAGGATTAAATTCTATATCTTTTTCATATATGTCATTTAGTTCTTTAAATATTAGTTTCCAAAATCTTTGTACTTTTTCACATTCCCACCACATCTGAAAGTATGTACAGTACCAATTTCCTTCTCACATTTCCAACAGACATTCAGATAACTAGCGTTAATTTTATTCAATTTTGTCGGTGTCAAATACCACCTTAAGACAATTTCGGAAAAAAAAATCTTTTATTCTCACCGACATAAATCGTAAAACCTTCATGTCCCACATCTTCCTCCATTCTTCATCATTTATTCTTTTTCCTAAGTCTTGTTCCCGCACTAACTTCAATCCTTCATTCTCAGTCTCTTCTTCTAGATCTAGCAGGAATCTATAAATTTTACTCACTGCACCCTTTACTGAATTGGTCATCTGAATATCTTCACATGATAATAGAAAATGTTCATAGTTTGTATATTCTCTACCTTTGTTGTACTTCTTTACCCATTCATTAGTCCATCTTTCTAACTGCATATAATTCAACCATGATATTTTCTTATTTTGAAGGATTTGTTTCATTTGATCTTTTGATCTTATTTCATCCAACCAAACTTTTAATCTAATCACTTTTTCTTTAAGCAGTCCTTTTCTTTCTTGAGCCAAGCAATCCATTGGATTTTGTTTTAGTGTGTAAGTTAAAAATTGGCCTTGTGTGCCTTAAAATTAGCTTTTCCTGATTCATTCATTCATTCATTCATTTAATTTATTTGTTCCATTTTTACCCCACCCATCTAGATTTGGGAACCTACTCTGGGCAGCTTACAAAATATAGAGATAAAAACAGCATTCTGATCATTGTTGTTGGTTTTTCGGGCTTCTTGGCCGTGTTCTGAAGGTTGTTTTTCCTAACGTTTCGCCTGTGTCTGTGGCCATGGGCATCTTCAGAGGACAGCACAGAGACCGACCACAGAGACTGGCGAAACGTTAGGAAGGACAACCTTCAGAACACGGCCAAAGAGCCCGAAAAACCAAAAACAACCATTAGATCCCGGCCATGAAAGCCTTCGCGAATACAGCATTCTGATAACTTTGTTCATAAAAGCAATGATTCCTATGTTTGGTCCTGTGTGCTTGCTCAGAACTCACACTGACCCTTTTCCATGTGTCTGACCCTCTGACCTGTCTTTCCCCCACAGTGCGGCAAGTGGAGCACCCTCCTCCTGTGCTATGGACAAGTGGCCCTGAGCATTAAAGAGGAAGTTCTCCCTAGAGCCGAGTTGATTGTGTCCAAAATGATTGAGTACTTCACCATCAACCCCTTGGTATTACAGACACTTTTGCCTTTGCGCAACAGACCTC